TTTCCAGTTATTCCCTTCCCCTTCCCCTTTTCCTTCCAATCTTCCTTCCTTCCTTCCTCCCTTCCTTCCTTCCTTCCTTCCTTCTTTCCTTCCTCTTTCTTCCTTCGACAGAGTCTTGCTCTGTCACCCAGGCTGGAGTGCAGTGGCACAATCTTGGCTCACTGCAACCTCTGCCTCCCATATTCAAGCAGTTCTTTTGCCTCAGCCTCCCTAGTAGCTGGGATTGCAGACATGCACCACCACGCCCAGCTAATATTTGCAGTTTTAATACAGAGGAGGTTTCACCATGTTGACCAAGCTGGTCTCAAGCTGGTGATCCAATCACCTCGGCCTCCCAATGTGCTAGTATTACAGGCATGAGCCACCATGCCTGGCCTCCAGTTCTTTTCTTACTTGCATAAATTTTCAGATTCCTTGATTGATTCCCCTCTCCTTCAAATTCTCAATCAACCCCTTGGTGTCTATGGTACTATATCCAATTTCTTTTCTATGTCTCTTGCCAGTTCTCCTAAAGTTTCTATGCCTATTCCTTCATCACTATGCCTTTGAAGGTCTTTAGAATTCTGTCCTAGGTCTTCTTATTTATCATGATATACTCTTTAATCCTATGGCTTGTATTACCATATACAAGGTGTTTTTTTAATTTCTGAATAAATGCCAAGACCTTGCTTCTAGTTAAAACCTTGCGTCTGGGCCCCAGGCCTATACTTGCCTACCTAAAATCACCTATTGCCTTCTTTTTTTTTTTTTTGAGACGGAGTCTTGCTCTGTCCCCCAGGCTGGAGTGCAGTGGCGCTATCTCAGCTCACTGCAAGCTCTGCCTCCTGGTTCATGCCATTCTCCTGCCTCAGCCTCCCAAGTAGCTGGGACTTCAGGTTTCACCATGTTAGCCAGGATGGCCTCAATCTCCTGACCTTGTGATCCACCCGTCTCGGCTTCCCGAAGTGTTGGGATTACAGGCGTGACACGCCACTGCACCTGGTCACCTATTGCCTTCTTTATAGCTACTTCAATATCAACATTACCAAACTATAACTCATTATTTTACTCTTAATTCTTGTTTTTCTTTCTGTGTTCTTCTATCTTAACAGGAACATGGCCGTTGGCCCATGTACCTAAGTGAGATACTTGCGTAACATTCTAGGATTCTCTCTGCCCTAAGTCCTAAAATCGAAACAATCACTAAGTTCTATGACTTTTACTTCCCAAGCCATATGGATTTTATTTCATGGAATTCATCCAGGTTCAGGCTTGTTTTGTTTGTTGCTTTATTCTTTGGCCTAACATACTGTCTGATACTTAGTAGATACCCAATAAATGTTTATAGAATAAATGAATGAATAAACAAATGAATGAGGCATAAAGGAATAAATAAATCAAATAAGAATTGGAGCTTTTCCATCTTATTTCAGAATATCTAATCTTTTCAAGTCAAACATCTATCCTTGGATAAAATGGTTTGAGGACCTAAGTCTCTGGCCCACCAGCCCAGTGCCCTTCTAATTCTCATAATATATTGTATCTAGGGAAGGAAAATTGCTATCATGGACTGTCAGTGTTGAAAAACACCTTAGCGAGTTGTGAGTGAGTGCAAACCACTCTTTTAACAATGACAAACCAAAGACTCAGAAAAGATATAACTTATTTGAGGCCGTTCAGCTGGTTATTGAACAGAATAGGTATAAAAATTAATCTTCTTACTTTTAGTGCAGTAATCTTTTCTTTATTTCATGAAACCTATTAATTTTTGGAAAAAATAAAATATCGTACTCTTAAGCAATATGTAAGTTAAATATAACTTCTCTTTATACAGTGTTTTATTTCTTTTGCTATCATTAAGCTATGTAACCTTGGTAGACTATACATGCTAATTATTTGCACTATGCTTGTAGTTTTTAGAAATGCTATTGTGAATAAATGAATATTTTTATTTAACTATTTCAGCATCAGAAAGGTTTTTTCTAAATCCTGAAATAACTTGTTGGCAAGCAAGAAAGGAGATGGGGGTATTCTTGCTTGTCTAGTAAAGTTGAAAAGATTGACTTGATAATTTGAGCAGTTACTGGACTTTCTGTTGTAGCCATCTTTTAAGAGCTTGTAAAAGTATTTTTGGTCTGCTTAAAATTTTAATGGATAATCAAAGACACTTCAGAAACTTTGGAGACATTTGGATATCACTTTATGATCTGCCCCAAGTTTGTAGTTCTTAATCCATTAAAAGACAGAGCTGCTTGTAAATCCACAGGTATAGATAAGGAGTCACTGTTTGACTGAGTCTGAACCCTTTTCAAATGAAATATGTCAGTGGCAGAAAGAGAGGATGAATTACTTTTTTAAAGGATTTTCAAAGATTCTCATGATTCCTCTGGTATCACTTAAATGTGACATGACTGGTTTTTTAGTGTGTAAAAAGAAGCAAATTTTTTGGGTATATTTTTATGTAGAAAAGAAGATTTTTTAACTTGTATTTAGCTGAGAGATTGAAATGTATTTTATTTTTAATGGTAAATTGTAAATAAACTGTTTTAAATGTAAATACGTATGGTTGAAAATAATACTGAGAACCCCTAGCCGATAGAAATTAAACAGTTTATTTTCAAATAAGAAAATTATCCTAAATATTTCAATAAAGAATGTGAATATGCATATATTAAGTCGTGTTGTCCCACTGGTTCCTCTCTGACATCAGAGTAGATTGTTATCTTTGTGCTCTGTCTCTGAGGGTGTTTCTGTAAAGGGTCTCTGATTCCAATACATTAATCAAAAAGATTGCACAAAGATGAAAAACACTTTCAGAGGAAAATCTCATACATGGATTTGTTATTCTGTATACAGAAAACAAATTATTGTCTTTCCATAGTTTCTGAACACTGAGTAAGCATCAGGATCTAGGACTTAGGCATTAATGTGTTATTTCCTATACGCACTCTATTTATATCTTTCAGACATTCGGATTTATTGAATCTTTCTGGGCTCATTTTCCTCACTGCTGATCATCATTAGCTATTGATATACCAGAATTTAAAACGTTGGAGAATGTTTGTTTGTCTGAATGTAATGTGTTCTTCAATTTTCAGTGTATTTTTCAAGTGGTAAAGAAAGAGAGTGTGAGAAGAAAGGCGAATGGAAGTGTTGTCCTTGAATTTAAATTTTTGACTGGGAACATGAAATTTTTATGAACATTGCATCTTTATTGCTCAGATATAGATAAATTTAAATTTTACCATGGACACAATTTAACCATTACCGAAATATTTTAGCTGATTGTAGTTTATATACTTTAGTTTTGGTTTTCAGGATCAGCAATAATGAAAACATGAAAAATAATGTCTGGTATTTAAACTATTAAAAGCAGGTGACACTAAATAGAGAAGTAAAGAAGAGATAGAATTGAACTCAGGCTGACAGTGTTTCTTTTAAAAAAAAACCTCAAGATTGAATCTGTGTATTTAAAGATAGCTACTAACTTGAAGAGAAGCTAAAGCCAGATTAAGGCAACAATTTCATATGTTACCTGTCATGACATATAGCATTTAGAAAATGTAATTACTAGGCCAGGTGCGGTGGCTCACGCCTATAATTCCAGCACTTTGGGAAGCCGAGGAGGGTGGATCACCTGAGGTCAGGAGTTCGAGACCAACCTGACCAACATGATGAAACTCCATCTCTACTAAAAATGTGAAATTAGCCGGACCTGGTGGTGCTTGCCTGTAATCTCAGCTACCTGGCAGGCTGAGGCAGGAGCATCTCTTGAACATGAGAGGCAACCTGGGCAACAGGAGCGAAACTCTGTCTCACAAAAAAAAAAAAAGAAAAAGAAAATATAAGTACTGAATATATTCTATTCTATTTTTCTCAGCTTTCTATTCTATATGGATTTTCATTGACATTAAAATTGATGCAAAAGTAATGGTGGTTTTTGCCATAGTTTTGCACCAACCTAATATTTCTTCCTATTTCATTCCTTCCCATTCTCATGTCTGCTGTTGATCAGGCTGAAAAGAAATAACATTAAAAAACAACGAATTTAGGTTACTGAGATAAAATCTTTAAAATATAAACATTTCAGTATGGTGATACGGCATGGTAATACTCTTTGGGGAATAAATATCCTAGATTTGATTATTTCAAAGAGAGGATACAAGTCCTGATTGTGATTTTTTTTTCTACCTATCTTAACATTTAACCTAATTGGCCTTTTTTTTTTTTTTTTTTTGACATATTGAGGCCTTCTTTTATTTGTTTGTATATTACTCCATTCGTTTATTTCTTAAGCATTTAATGAATTCCTACTTTATGCAAGTGTGTATACTGTCTTTACTTCCTATTTCCCTTTATAGATTCCAAAATATTACTCTGGAGTAAATGAAAGGAAGAAGACCTTCCAAAACTGCTTATTTCTAAAGAGTTTTTGTTCAAACTCTTTTGGTACAATAGAATTCTATTTAGTATACCAAATACAGAAAAACAAGTAAAAACTTCGTCTAAACATTTTTTATTTGAAAAACATGCCTTGCTATATATTGTACACATAGCCATGTTACCTATTGAAACTGGTAGTAATTTCAGAAAATTACCAAGTACTTAAAAAACTCTCCAGATATTGTTGTTCGAGAGTCTTGAATAAATACAAGAATTTTAACGCAAAATGATTGTCCTACGTTTCTTGTCTATCTGTTTTGTCATTAGATCAGTGCTTTCTAAGGGAGTGTTATTGTTTCTGGTTCTAAAAGACTTAACTAAAAAGAATTGACTTCAGCAGATGATGTGTGTGAAAAGGTGAAAGGAAGAAATTGAACTAAATTTGAATACAATTATAAGGACAACTTTTATTTTCCTCTTAGGATAGGATGAGTTGTTTTTCAGACAAGCGTAATTAATTCTCTTTATATGAATCCTGAGAATTTCATGTGTGTAAAGCAAACACACAAAAAGAGGAGGTGGCTGCTGTTAAAGTACAAGTGGAAGTATTCTGAACACTTCTGTTTCATTGTCTGCAGGAGAGCTGGAGGTGTTTCAGAAAGATGGGGAACGAAAAATTCAGAGTCGACAGCAACTTCCGGTGGGAACAACCTGGGGGCCGTTTCCTGGGAAGATGGACTTGAATAATAATTCTTTGGTATGTGGATATTCTGAGATGGTTAATATTTTGTCATCAATGGTTAATATTTTGTCATAGCTCAGAAATTATCTCTGCTTGCTTTCCAATGAAATCACTGAAAATAACCATTTGTTTTTTCTTTTTCATGGATGGCAAAACTTGGATACTTTTTAAGTGGTTTGTGTCTGACAGTAATATATACAGAATTTATACAGAAACAGGTTACTCATATAAAATTGTGGCTAGTAAGGTAATATATAAGGTTATTGCTTTATCTGCTTAGCCAGACTAAGACTGTTCACATTTAATAATATATAAAATTGCCTTTATTTTTCAGATGACACAAATTGTCATCCATTACAGGTTTACATGAAGAACAAGAAATAAACAACTATGTTTTTCCTTGGTAATACTGTTTGTACCTTTAAAAGCAGGGATGAATTATCGGCATTATAACTTTTGTTGTTCAGTGTTTTTGTAAAAGTTCTGAGAACAGAAAGTCTATCTCTTGGTGTGATTATGTGGATTATTGATTAATTAGATGTTTTAAAAGTAATGGAGACCGGGCACAGTGGCTCACGCCTATAATCCCAGCACTTTGGGAGGCTGAGACGGGTGGGTCACTTGAGATCAGGAGTTCGAGACCAGCTTGGCCAAACCTGGCAAAACCCCATCTTTACTAAAAATACACACAAAAAAATTAGCCAGACGTGGTAGCAGGTGCCTGTAGTCCCAGCTACTCAAGAGGCTGAGGCAGGAGAATCGCTTGAACCCAGAAGGCAGAGTCTGCAGTGATCTGAGATAATGCCATTGCATTCCAGCCTGGGTGACAGAGCGAGACTCCGTCTCAAAATAATTAATAAATAAATAAATGTAATGGAAAGGTAGGTAGTTTGGTTACATTTAAACTTTATTTCTTAATTGGATATATTAGTTTGCTATTCCTGCCTCAGCAACTCACCACAAACTTTGTGCCTTAAAACAACATAAACTTACTATCTTGCAGTTATGGAAGTCAGCAATTCAAATTGGGTGTCACTGGGCTAAAAGCAAGGTGTCTACAGGGCTGAGCTCCTTTTCAGATGCTTTATGGGAGGATCTGTTTTCTTCCTTTTCCAGTTTCTGAGAGCTACCAGTGGCCCTTCCCTCATAGCCCCCCTTCCATCTTCAAAGCCACCAGCGTCTGACGGAGTCTTTCTCACGTCCACATCCCATCTCTGACTCTTCTGCTTCCCTATTACACATTTAAGGACACTTAGGATTACACTGTCCACCTGGGTCATCTAAGCTAATTTCTCTTTATTAAGGTCAGCTGATTAACACTCTCCATTCTATTTGCTTCCTTAATTTCTCTTTGCCATGCAAAGGAATGTTCACAAGTTCTAGAGGTCAGGATGTAAACATCTTTGCAAGGAGCTATTCTGCCTACCACATGGCATAAAAGAAAAACAACAGCTGAAAACCTCTCTTATAATAAGTGATAATACAGGCGATGAAATTTGGGAAGAAAAATGTTTAATATTCCTTAGAGAATCCAGAAATGTTATAAGTATTTATTCCACTGAAAGTCCTTCTCTCTAAATGCCATTTATGTAGGAAGAGTCTTATGACTTTTAAAGGACTCTATCTATGCTAAGGGGATGTAAAAACTCCCAGAGTGGTTTTGACAGATGTACTGGGTTCAACAACATTACATTCCTTTTTTGATTTATTGCATGAAGGAAATCCCTTCTTCAAATAATTACATGAAAGAAATTGATACGTGTGGATCTCTGTTTATTCAGTGCCATGTGGATGTGACAGAGGTTGTTGGTTCAACTAAAAGTAATGATTAGAATAAATAGGAAATATTTGTGTTACCAAACTTTTAAAGAGTGCATGAGATCCCGGGGTACATTTATTACTTTATAAATTCATGTATTTATCCATAAAAGGATGAAATAGGGGTTTTCACATGTATTTAGGGACCAAACAAGCTGACTTTATAGTCCAGACCAAATGTTTAATAATCTGGGCAATTTGTTCTAGGTGGACTCGTGCAGCTACTTCAAAAGAGATTTGTGATATAGCCACAAAATGCAGGCCTCAGTTGGTTGAGTTGTATTAACAGATTGTTCTATTGATTCCTTTCAGAGAGCAGTATTAACTATGTCCATGTCTCAAGCTAATGAATGTTAAGAAAGGCAAGGGAAGGATCGCCTAAACATCAAAGGTTGAATTAAATGCTATTCTGAACTTATTTTATCTGGGAGTTTCTATTTGTCTTCTAGCATTGCTTACTAAACGTTGTAAGCTATATCATATTTATCTTATTTATCACAGTGTATCAGATACCAATGCAACCTTTAATCATTTGAATGATATTTCTTCAAAAGTGTACCTACACTGTATCAGCTATAGTTGATGTGCGAGATGAACATTTTTCAGTTTACTATATTAAAAGAATATATTTACTACATGCTAATTTTGATTAATCTTGCTATTATTCTCTGTATGTATACAGAATGGTAGTTTTATGACATTTTTACCATATGCTAATTCGTGATGGATGGAAAATAAACCTATCTGAGAAAGTTTGATTTTTCATTGAAATAATTTCTGATTTTTAGACAGTTGATGTCATTTTGCTGTTTTAATAGTTCTGTATCACTGTAAAGCTATTTTATGCCATATTTAATTTTTTAAAAGGAGTTTATATAGATGAAATTTTCAGAATTTTTGATACTATTTAAAACGTATGAATACTCTTTAGATTATCAACAATTGGGTAATGGGTGATTATTTAGAAAACAATTTTAATACTTCAGTTTTCTTCTTTTGTCTTAGGGTTTAAATATCAAATTATTTTATTTAGTTAAAATACAGCATTTTTCCTGATTTTAAAATTTAGTTGCCTCACTAAAATATATTTTCAAATGTTTTTCTTTTGAAATAACATCCTCTTCCAAAATTTACTTCTGAATTTATATCATTAAATACTACTAGTATTATTATTCCTACTGCTGTTACTACTGTACATCATCAAATTGGTTAACATATATGACTGGAAAATGGAAATAGATTAGTTCATTTAATCCTCCAAAAAACCTGTGAATTTGGTTCTATCATAAGTCACATTTTACAGATAAGAAAATAAAAATTCTCACTTCTGATTCCAGAGTCTCCTTTTTTAAAGACTCTGCCAACACTGCCTTCTCAGTATAACATCTGTAACATGATTTGAGCATGATAAAATTGTTGATGATTTCTTAACATGAATCATAAATTTATAAAAATCTCTGGGAGGAAATATGCAAAAATTAGAAATATACCTGTTTTTTTCCCTGATGGGCAAAATATTTGTTATGTAATTAGACTACTTGAGCAGTTAAAAATTAATTGAAAGACTTCTGGAGTTTTGTTACCTCTTCATAATTTGGACAGTACTATAATATGTATTTGATATCATAAATATTCCTTATAATAAAATATAGAGTCTACCCCTTCCCTACCCAACCTTGAATCAAATTTGGATTAGTGCACTCTCTTAAATTGCTTATTCGCCAACTGATGTAATGTTACTCTGCTCAGACTCATGGTGTTGGCTCGGGAGATTCGGCTCACTAATTAATCCAACACAGTAATTAATTGAGTCGCCATGCCAGATGTCAAATCCTTTTTATATCTTTCAAGTCCCCATCTTCAAGTACATTAGCAATATGCCACCTTCTGCAGGAAGGCTTTGCAGACCAGGCATTTAGATGTATATAGAACATTTTTAAAAACAAACACCAAACAAATTGGTTTGACAAAAAGTTATTCTTAGAATTATGTAACACACTGAACATAGAAATAGAGTATCTTTTGTCCATACCTTATTATCTTGGTAGATACTTCATGTTTCAAAAGTTTTATAAGAGCAACAGCAGCATAGTAAATACTTTCATTGGGCCAGATACTGGTCAAAGTGCTTTACATGTTTTATAGCATATTTACTTCTTACACAAGTGCAAGAGAAGATAATATTTATCTCCTTGCTTACAGAGGCGTAAACTGCTACTTTGGGAAGTTAAATAACTAGCCTAAGGTCAACTTGGTCTGATTCCATAACCCATGCTCCAGTCTTAGAAATGTTTTCTGTGATATGATAATAATAATGCCTAGTTTACAGGAATTTTGGACTAAATGGGATAGCATATGTGAGTTATCCACAAATTTCAACTACTATTACTAGTCAGTAATCTGTGGAAGTGAACCCATTGAAATCTTTCAACTTTAAAGCAAAAAACACTCTTCAAATTAAACAAGCAACACTATAAACCTTGATGTTTGGGGATTTTACATGCCTAAATTTGACCGCCAAGGTCTCTGTCTTAGGATTCTCGAGAGAAACAGAACAACAGGATGTGTAGGTATATAGACAGAGATTTATTACAAGGAATTGGCTTGTCCAGTTATGATGGTTGGGAAGTACAAAATCTGCAGTATTCAGTCAGGTGAGAGACCCGGGAGAGCCAGTGGTGCAGATAAAGTTCGATAGCGGTCTTTGGGATATTTCCTCACCTATAGGGAAGCCAGTCTTTTTGGTCTCTTCAGGCTTTCAGTTGATTGGGTGAGACCCACTCACATTTTGGAGGGCAGTCTTTTTTATCCAGAGTTCACTGATTTAAATGTTAATTTCATTCAGAAACACCCTGTGAGTTGGCAATTAAAATGAACCATCACAGGCTCCAAAGGTCTGCACTACCTTGCAAGTTTCAGTGTTTTGAGGTATGACCTTATACTTATGAAAAAATTGTTACCAGTGAGGGAGCCCAGCATTCTTTCCAGCATCTCACCTCATATCTCAGAAATAACTTATATTAAATGCTATCATAGTAGCACAAACTTGGTGTTTTTGAAAGTTTTGCAATTTTATTCATTGAAAAAAAAATCAAAGGACTACTGACAAGGAAGAAATTTTATAAATTACCTTAAGTTCTGATCAATATCTGGTTTGGATGTGGTTTTAGAACGTCTGTATTTATATGTCGTACCTT